GGGGAATTAATGGGGGATTAATGGGGGAATAGGGGGGGATTAATGGGGGATTAATGGGACATTAATGGGGAATTAATGGGAAATAATGGGGGATTAATGGGGAAATAATGGGGGAATAGTGGGGAATTAAGGGGGGATTAATGGGGGATTAATGGGGGATTAATGGGGAAATAATGGGGAATTAAGGGGGGATTAATGGGGGATTAATGGGGGATTAATGGGGAAATACAGGGGAAATAATGGGGAAATAAGGGGGAAATAATGGGGAAATAGTGGGAGATTAATGGGGAAATAATGGGGAATTAATGGGACATTAATGGGGAATTAATGGGGAAATAATGGGGAATTAATGGGGAATTAATGGGGAATTAATGGGGAATTAATGGGGAAATAATGGGAAAATAATGGGGAATTAATGGGGAATTAATGGGGAAACAATGGGATTTTGGAGAAAAAGGTTATGGGATTTTAGAGAAAAATACTGGGATTTTGGGGGAAAAATAATGGGGGAAAATGGGAAATAATGGGAAAAATAATGGGAATAACAGGGAAAATAATGGGGAAAATAATGGGGAAAATAATGGGGAAAATAATGAGGAAAAACTGGGATTTTAGGGGGAAATCACAGGAAAATAAAGGGATTTTAGGGAAAAAGGAGCGGAAAAACACAGGAACAAATAAAGGAATTTTATGGGGAAAAAAATGGATTTTTAGGGGAAAATAACTGGAAAAATACGAGGATTTTAGGGGAAAAACGGGGCTGTTCCTGAGCCATTTTACCCCAAATCTGCCAGAAAATCCCGGAAAAATTTGGGAATTTCGGGAATTTTTCCCTCGCCTGCATCTGAACAGGAATTTCAGGAATTTTTTTGGATTTTGATGATTTTGGTGCCATTTCTGAACCATTCTTGGTCCATTTTTACCCCGTTTTTCGCCCCGTTTTCACCCGAATCGCCCCAAAATCCCAGAAAAATTTGGGAATTTCGGGGATTTTCCCCAGACCTGTGCCTGGCCTGCATCTGAACAGGAATTTCAGGAATTTTCGTGGATTTTGATGATTTTGAGGCCATTTCTGAACCATTTGGGGCCATTTCTCAGCCGTTTTTTGCCCGTTTTTCGCCCCGTTTTCACCCGAAACGCCCCAAAATCCCAGAAAAATTTGGGAATTTCGGGGATTTTCCCCGGACCTGTGCCTGGCCTGCATCTGAACAGGAATTTCAGGAATTTTCGTGGATTTTGATGATTTTGAGGCCATTTCTGAGCCATTTGGGGCCATTTCTCAGCCGTTTTTTGCCCGTTTTCTCCCGAAACGCCCCAAAATCCCGGAGAAATTTGGGAATTTCGGGAATTTTCCCCAGATTTGTGCCTGACCTGTATCTGAACAGGAATTTCAGGAATTCTTTTAGATTTTGATGATTTTGGTGCCATTTCTGAGCCATTTGGGGCCGTTTCTGAGCCGTTTTTTGCCCATTTTTCGCCCCGTTTTCACCCGAAACGCCCCAAAATCCCGGAAAAATTTGGGAATTTCGGGAATTTTTCCCTCGCCTGCATCTGAGCAGGCATTTCAGGAATTTTCGTGGATTTTGATGATTTTGGTGCCATTTCTGAGCCATTTGGTGCCATTTCTCAGCCGTTTTTCACCCCGTTTTCTCCCGAAACGCCCCAAAATCCCGGAAAAATTTGGGAATTTCGGGGATTTTCCCCAGACCTGTGCCTGGCCTGCATCTCAACAGGAATTTCAGGAATTTTCGTGGATTTTGATGATTTTGGGGCCATTTCTGAGCCATTTGGTGCCGTTTCTCAGCTGTTTTTGCCCGTTTTTCGCCCCGTTTTCACCCAAAACGCCCCAAAATCCCGGAGAAATTTGGGAATTTCGGGAATTTTCCCCAGACCTGTGCATGGCCTGCATCTGAGCAGGAATTTGAGGAATTTTCGTGGATTTTGATGATTTTGAGGCCATTTCTGAGCCATTTGGTGCCATTTCTCAGCCGTTTTTTGCCCGTTTTTCGCCCCGTTTTCACCCAAAACGCCCCAAAATCCCGGAAAAATTTGGGAATTTCGGGGATTTTCCCCGGACCTGTGCCTGGCCTGCATCTCAACAGGAATTTCAGGAATTTTTTTGGATTTTGATGACTTTGGGGCCATTTCTGAACCATTCTTGGTCCATTTTTACCCCAGTTTTTGCCCCGTTTTCACCCGAATTGCCCCAAAATCCCGGAAAAATTTGGGAATTTCGGGAATTTTTCCCTCGCCTGCATCTGAACAGGAATTTCAGGAATTTTCGTGGATTTTGATGATTTTGGTGCCATTTCTGAGCCATTTGGGGCCATTTCTCAGCCGTTTGTTGCCCGTTTTTCGCCCCGTTTTCACCCGAAACGCCCCAAAATCCCGGAAAAATTTGGGAATTTCGGGGATTTTTCCCAGACCTGTGCATGGCCTGCATCTGAGCAGGAATTTGAGGAATTTTCGTGGATTTTGATGATTTTGGTGCCATTTCTGAGCCATTTGGGGCCGTTTCTGAGCCATTTTTTGCCCGTTTTTCGCCCCGTTTTCACCCGAATCGCCCCAAAATCCCGGAGAAATTTGGGAATTTCAGGAATTTTCCCCAGATTTGTGCCTGGCCTGCATCTCAACAGGAATTTCAGGAATTTTCGTGGATTTTTATGATTTTGAGGCCATTTCTGAGCCATTTGGGGCCGTTTCTCAGCCGTTT